TTACTTAAAATTTTGATAATTTATTCATCATGGATTTTATTTTTGCATTAACTTGCATTTGTGAAAACACTGCAGTAAAATGTTTATCCTGCTCATTGAAGTTTCTGACACCTTAGGGTTTGCACAGGTGGTGAGTCCCTCATTTGCCTTGTCCTGGTCCCCCTTGCTTAGTAAAGCATTTAGAAGAGTGGCCATGCACCGCACACTCAGGCTTCAGATGAGCCCCCCCATTCCAGCCCTAGGGCTCCCAGAAGCCCCTCCCTTACAGAATTTTGCCCACAGACCCCCGAGGGTCTCTATTCTTCTCGCCTGGTGCTGCCAAGCCCCCAGCTTTGCTTTGCTTTGCACCTGCCGAGGCTGGCTATCCATCCTAGTCTTCAGACTTCGGAAGTATGGGATTGTGGGCTCACTTCACTGGGACAGAATCCCGCCCTGGAAAGAACCTTTGCAGAAAGGTAATTTAAGTCTGGATGGAAGGTCTGTCACTTACTAGCTGTGTGACCTTGGGAAAATTCTTTAAGCTCTCTAGGCCTTAGCTGCCACGTCTCTAGAATGGGGACATTAATGCTCACTTCTCAGGGCTGCACAAGACACCTTAGTTTAAGTCCGAAGCAGCAGCTCTGAAGCCAGGAGCCCAGAGTTAGATCCGAGCTTGTAACCACCCCTCTTTCCCCACCCCCCATCGGGGTGACCCAGACAGTTACCTGGCCTTCCTGGGCTTCCACTGCGCCACCTGGAACACAGCAGCCTGCGGGGAGCGGGAGCTCCTAGAGCCAGTCCTCGTCCCCCCCATTGGCAGTTGGCAGGGACCGTCGCTGGGAGCTGCTGGCATTCATTCCGCCGGAGCCTAGTACCCTGGAGCGTTCGGGAAAAGGGGGTGAGACGTCTGAACCCGGAGCTTTTCCCGGGCCGACTTCAGGCGTGGCCTTTCAGAACTCGCGAGTGCGGGCCCTCCTCCCTCCCTCCAGGGTCCGGGCCCGGGGCTGCGGCGGCGGCGGCGGGCAAGACGCTACCTGCGCGCGCGTGCCGGGCATTCCTGCCCCGCCGTGCCTCCGCACCGGGCGCGCCATGGGCCTGATGCCGGCCTCGCGGCCCTTCTCCCGGTGCTGCGCCTGCCCGCGGCCGCCCTGCCGCCTGCCCGCCTGCTGCGCGCCCGCGGCCCCAGGTAGCGCGGGGACCGGGTGCGGGGGAAGCGGCGGCGTCGGGACCCCGCGCGGCGGGGTGAGGAGGGTGCCGCGCATGCGTCTCGCGGGGCGCGGCCGGGAGCGCGCGTGGGTTGGGGTGCCCGCCGCGCAGTGAGGTGCCAGGCTGGGGGAGCAGGGGGCGCGCGTGTTCTTGGCTCGAGGCCCCCAGTGGGGACTCGCAAAGGGTCACCCCCTCCCCCCGCCACTACTGAGGGGACCGAACCTGATGGGAACCCTGGGCCCCCGACTCCAAGAACAGTGCTCGCCCCACATTTGCCCCCCACCCCCACTCCCGGACCTCAGGAAGGCCACTGTGCCGGCCTGGCTACCACCGGGAGGGTAGGGATCTTCTGCCCCAGGGCTGGCTCGCCCTGGTCAGGACCCCCGGCTAGATGGTGTGTGCCTCTTGCTGCCGTTCTCTCTCCTGCGCTGATGTCACCCTGTTGGTTGGGGAGGCCTGGCCACGGCCCAGCCTGTTGGTTTCAGCCCCCAGGGCAGCTCTGAACTGTCCAGCCCCTAGAGCGGGCCATGCACCTGGGCGCGCTCAGCGATGAAGGGTGGGTTGACAAACCTGGGGAGGGGAGCTGAGAGCAGGAGGGGCTTCCCCAAGTCTGAACCTCCGGAGAGAATTTAAGGACGTTTTTCTTTGTGTCTCTTCCCTGATTGCGGCCTAGTCCCCACTCCGGGTCCCGCCACCCCCCAATTAGAGAGAGCCCTAGAGGAGCCAGAGCGGGCCCGAGGTCTCCTCTCAGGAATCCGCTCCAGAGAGGGAAAACCAGGCCCCTTCCAGCTGACAGAGCCCGGGGCCCTAGGCCGGCCCTCCGGGGTCAAGAGGCCACATTGACCAAGCACCTGCCGTGGGAAGCTCTCCCATGGCTGCTCACAAACCCCCCCCCCCCCCGAAGCGGCAGGGAGACTGAGGACTGTGCCCAAGGTCATCCAAGACAGGGATCTGAGCCGGCTGACTGCTGGGTCCGTGGCCTGTGACTTCTGCTGCGGCAGGGGGATCTGGGGAGAGGGGATCAAGGGCTAGGGTCTGCCGGGGAGACCGGGCAGGGCGGGAGGCTCGGCCCTGCTCTGAGCCCTCTGACAGGTTCATCAAGAGGAAACGGAGACGCAGCCTCTGCCAGTTTCCTCTCTGGTGGCAAAGCCGGTACTTTGTGAAGAGCGTGGGCTGGGGCCTCGAGGAACCCGCACGCTGGCTGGGTTTCCAGGGATCTGACAAACCTACTGGAACTGGTTCTTGGCAAGTCTTCCCCTCCGAGCTGTGCCAGGAGGGCTGAGGGAGTGCAGTGTGGCTGTTGCGAGTCGCCAGGCTCTGCCCGCTCCCCGGGCAAGGGGAGTGAAGGAGGCCAGGCCCCGGAGCCTGAGGGCAGGTTGCTCCCAGCAGGGGGACAGCTGGGAAGGAAACCCTAGGAGGCTGGACTGGAGTGAGCTTTCCCTGGCGCTCCACAAAACTTCTTTCTTTAGAAGGCGATGAGGGGACAGCTTGCACCTAAATCCTGCACAAAGTCTCATGCAAGGCTCCACGCAGCCCTGCTGGGAATGTGGGGTCAGTCCCTGGCCTGGTGGTGCCTCACGGCCCCTGGCCTCGGGCAGGGCCCTCAGGGCAACCCCTTAAAAAACAGTACCATTATCCCATTTTATAGATGGAAAAACCGAGGCCCAGGAAAGGAGGCCATGTCTCTCCTCAGTAGCTTAGCTGGGATGGACACCCAGACCTGTGCACTTTCAGGCTCAGCATCTTTGTCTTTACGGCCTACAGTCTTGACCACCACCTGCTGCCCGTGTCTCCAGCCCCACCCCTAGCCCAGAGCTGTCACCAGGCTCAGCCCTCAGAGGGCCTCTAAGCCCTGTGATCCGTGTCAGACCCCCACCCAGCAGGCTCTCTCCTGCTCATTCTTACACCCCAGTTTCAGCGTCACCTCCTTCCCCAAATCGCCTGTTTGGAAGCACCTGGGGCCCTGTGGACTTCTCTTTCCTGGCTCTCCCAGCCCTGTTTAGGAGGCTGGGGTGAGTGGGGAGAAGGCCTCACAGGGAGGCCATGGGTGTGTTGAGGTTGGGCCGGGGCGGTCAGAGTTGGGGCTGCTGCACGGACAGCGGGGCTGGCCCCTGCCTGCACCCCAGAGGGAGGTGGGGGCAGAGCCTCGCCTGCCAAATTGCACTTTATCTTGAGGAAGGGGTGCGGGGGTGGGAGGCAGCAAGGGGGCCCAGCTGAGTGGGCCCTGGTAGGATTTATGTCTTTACAGCCCTCGGGGCAGCACTGAGGCTGTCCTCTGCCTAGAACAGGGTGAGGCACAAATGCGGGAGTGACAGCAGGGTGGATGGACAGACGGACAGACAGAAGGATGGCACATGGCCTCAGGATAGAAAATGGGAGAGCAGGAAGGGCTAGAGCCCAGAGGAGGCTGGATGGGATTACCCCAGCTTTGTGGATCTCTGGAGGGAGTTTTAGAATTCTCCTCAGTGTCCCTGACTGTGGCCTTCAGTCACCTGTGAGCCCAGGGTGCGGAGCCGAGTGCGTGAATCTGGATCGCTCGCCCTCCTTCCCTCAGCGCTCCTTGTCCTCTACCCCCGGTCCAGCACGAGCTCGGGGCTGCAGAGCGGCAAGTGTCTTCACGCATCTGTGATAGAGCGCAGGGAGAGAAAGAGCGAGAGCTCTGTGGTTATGCCCAGCTGCCATAGGCAGGGACATCTGCGCTGTTCCCCAGGGCTCATGGGAAACTTGCACAGACCGAAGAGGAAAGAGACCTCCAGGTGGGGGTCCGCGCACGGGCCAGGCAGCAGCAAAGCAGACGAGTGGGGACGCTCGAGGAGTGGGTGAGGCTGACAAGAGGGGAAGTGTGTGTGAGCAGGGAGGGAGGCAGGAGGCAGGCACTGAGGGTGCAGTGCCAGGCCAGCCCCCCCCCCCCAACCCCTTTCAGGGATCCTCTGCTAGTGGGCAGTTCCCCCTGCAGGTTCCAGAAGCCGAGTTGCTGGGTCGTATGGTAATTCCGTTGTACGTTTTTTAAGGCACCTGTTTTCCACAGCGACTGACTGCACTGATTTACGTTCCTGCCAACAGTGCACAAGCCGTCTTCCGGTTTCCCCACATCCTCACCAACGCTTGGCTGTTCTCTGGGCTTTTTGATAGCAGCCATCCTGATGGGTGTGAGGTGGTGTCTCACTGGGGTTTGACTTGCATTTCCCTGATGACCAGGGATGCTGAATCATAACGTTCTCCTATGAGTGTGTCCTCTGTCTTGTTGTGTGAGCTGTGCCTCGTCTATTCTTGCTGTCCGGTTCCGCACAGGGTCTGAGGAACCCTTAATAAGGTTCCTCAGGCTTCAGAGTGCCTGGGTGGCTCAGTCAGTTAAGCGTCTGACTTCAGCTCAGGTCATGATCTCACGGTTCGTGGGTTCGAGCCCCACGTTGGGCTCTGTGCTGACAGCTCAGAGCCTGGAGCCTGTCTCAGATTCTGTGTCTCCCTTTCTCTCTCTGACCCTCCCCTGCTCACTCGCGCATGCTCTTCCTCAGAAATAAATTAAAAAAAAAAAAAAAAACATTTAAAAAGAAAAAAAACAAAGGTTCCTCAGGCTTAGTTAGACAAATTCCATAGCACTGGACAGGCCCCCTGCGCACTGTGCCCTCCCGCTCCCTGTCCCAGGTGGCCCAGGGTCCGGCTGCCTAGTGTGTGCCTCCCCAGATTCTCATTTGCTCCCTCAGGAGACAGCCACTTTGGGGCCTGACAGCAACCCTGCGCCCCATCCTCCCAAGCGCCCTTCCCCCCACCGAGCTGGATAGCCGAGGGTGTGACCGCCTCCTCTCTGTGCCCAGGAATCTTTGGGCAGCGCCTGGAGGACACGGTTCACCACGAGCGGAAGTATGGCCCCCGCCTGGCCCCCCTGCTGGTGGAGCAGTGCGTGGACTTCATCCGGGAGCGTGGCCTCAGCGAGGAGGGGCTCTTCCGCATGCCGGGCCAGGCCAACCTGGTGAGGGACCTGCAGGATTCCTTCGACTGTGGGGAGAAGCCGCTGTTTGACAGGTGAGCGGAGGGAGAGGGGCGCAGGACACGGGCTCCGGTGGGCAAAGGCGGCTGGCACCCGGGGGGCCTTGGCAGCAGGGTGCTGGGTGGCATGGCTCCCCACAGGGGCCCATGTGCTCAGTGAGTGCCTCCTCCCCCCACTACCCCCATGGGCAGAGCACTGGGCACAGAGTCTCTGCAGCCGCCCTCTGGGCCTCCTCTCAGGGATGGGTCCCCCATAGACGGGGCCTGCTCACGTCTATGCAGGCTGTTTTCACTGTGGATGCATGGAAACCCAGCCCGGGCAGGGGAGAAGCCTCTGCTGGCTCCCTTTGGGACTCCAGCCCTGCTGCTGGGCCTCCCTGTCAGCTCCGCAGCCCTGGGGTGACCCAGCCCCAGGCCCCAGATGGCAGTGCAGCAGCCCCACGTGGTGTCAGGTATCAGGGGTGGAGAGCCAGTCTCCTCCGCCTTCCCTGTGCCAGTGCCCATCCTGACCCATCCTGGGGCTTGCCAGTTCCAGGCCTGCGCTTTGTGGCTAGAGTCAACCTCACTTAAGAGCCCAAGTGTGACCTGGGAGGTGGGGCTACTTGGAGACTTCTTCTCCCTGACAGGACCCCACCCATTATGGAGCGGTTTTCAGAGAAAGTTGTTTCTGCATCAAGCCAAACTTGGCCTCTGGGGAGCTGCCCTTTGTTCTCAGATCTGCCCTGACAGTCAAGGCCCGCCTCTGCCCCAGGATAAGGCCATGGGATTCTGCCCGCAACCTTGGCCTTCCCAGCCCTTCTCTCAGGGCAGAGCACCCTTGGTGCCTCTGGCTTCTGCTCAGACCCATCAGCACAGCTGGGCAAGTTAGTCAGTTCCCTTCTGGGGCTGTGGAGCCTGGGACTGATCCCAGGGGAGCTCCGCCCGCTGGAAAGAAGAGCTGTCCAGGGCTCGAGGTGTTCTCTTGAGGGCTCTTAGGTTCTCTCTCCAGGTCACACCTACACTAAGGGGAGAAGCTGATTGGGACCCCAGGGCAGCCCTCCCTGCCTAAGTGCCCAGCCCCCTTACTGCACGCTCAGAGCCCGATCCTCGGGGACAGAGCTGGACAGGGGGCACTGCCCTAGAGGGTCGCAGAGGCTGGTGGCACCCGCAGGCCTGTGGGCTGTAGAACAGTCTCCTTGGGTTCTGGGGAAGGGAGCCTGGATTCAGGGCAGGCGTGCGTAGGAGGGGAGGGTGGTGAGGGGCGTTCAAGGAAGAAGTACCAAGAAGAAGCCCTGAGCCTCTGTTAAAGGGAAAGGCTCTGCGGTGAGTGGGGAAGGAAGGAGAGGGTGAGGAAGTGTGTTTCTAGGCAGAGAGGTAAGCAGGTGAGGGGGTCAGGGTGCCAGGACAGGCTCCCTAGACCAGGGCGGGGCAGAGGACCTGGACAGAATAGCTGCAGGGACCTGTGGGGCATGGGGCCGTGAACTGGGGCTGCCGCACTGGCCGGGGTGGGGGCAGGCCTCCCAGGCCCGGGAGCACTGTAAGCGGAGGGCATGGAGGGGGAGCCTGGATGGGGCTCCAGCCAGAGAGGCCTGCAGAGTGGAAGGGCTGCTCTCAGTCCACTTGCCTGGGACAGAAGAGCTGTCACCTCCCCCACTGATGGGAGATACCGCAGATGGGCCTTGGCCATACTTCTGTGCTTATGTTGCCCAGGTCTTCACCAAGGGCAAGCTTGCAGATCCTCCCTGCTTCCTCCTCCCCCCACCCCACCCCGCATTAGCTCTAGCTCCTGTGATGGCCCGCACTGATCCCACAGGGCTCCAGGGGACAGGGAGGGCACCGGGCTCAAGTCTGGGCACCCACTGGGGCTGTGAGCACCCAGAAAGTGGGGGGTGTTGGCAAAGGAGGTAAAGTGGCCTGGGAGAAGGTAGTGGAAAACCTGGACAGCAGCATTCTGGGTCCAGGGACTGAGGTCCCCTTAGCCAGGCCAGACTAAGAGCCACCAGGCCTGAGGCAGAGAGGGGCCCTAGCTATGAGCCTGAGGTATATATGGGGTCATAGAATCCCAAATGCTGTAGCCAGAAGGGACTCTGCAAGCCCAGCCATGGCCAGCCAGGGCCAGGTGGCACCTTAGTGACACACAGCCACCTCCTGGCCCCTGGCTCATCTTCCCTGAGCGCCTGCTGTGAGAGAGATGCAGGTTCAGGGTTTAAATCCAGGGCCCTAGAAATACAGATGAAATACCTAAGGCCCAGGCCCATCCAGGAAGGCAAGCTTAGAGGTGCCAAGACCGCAACCCGAGGAATGAGCCCAGAGGCCAGCAGGCCCGGGGTCACTGTCCTCCACTGGAGGCACCGCAGCCTGGGCAGTGGCAAGCTGGGAGTGGACACACAGGGCACCGGGGTGATGAACACACAAGCCCCGGCGTCTGTAATGTGAATTCGGAACTCAGAGGCTGGAGGAGAGGGCCTGACCCCTGCCCGGCCCCTGGTGGCCTGTGCCGAGAGATCTGCTCTTTCTAGGAGCTCAGCAGGCCTGCATGGTATGTTCCCTTGACATGGCCCCTCCCATTCCATCCGTGGGCCAGCATGGGAGCCCCATCACCCACCCCTCACCCACCCCCTACTGAGAGCAGAGCAGCTCTGAGTTGCCCTGCAGAGAGGAGCCTGGGGGCAGCCACCAGGCTGTGAAGGGGACCTTCACTCCCGCCAGTTCCCTGGCTAACAGCGTACACACACAAGCACACGCATGACGTGAGAGCAGAGGCTACCCCTGGCGGCGTGGCTCAAGGTGCTGGCCACTTCTGGGGTTTCCTGGTGTTCCGGGCCTCACGCGTGTCCCCCTGCCCACAGCACAACAGACGTGCACACGGTGGCCTCCCTGTTGAAGCTGTACCTGCGGGAGCTCCCTGAGCCTGTGGTCCCCTTCGCCAGGTACGAGGACTTCCTCAGCTGTGCCCAGCTGCTCACCAAGGACGAGGGGGAGGTTAGTGGCTCCTGGGGACCCATCCTGGGAGGTGGGCCTGCCGGCAGTTGGGCAAACTCTGACTTGTAGTGACTTCCGTGGCACATAGATCCTGGCCTACAGACCACTCTGTAGGATGGGGGGGTGGGGGCTTGAACCTGCCACTCTGTGAAGGGGGGCCTGGAGCACCTTGCTCTGGGTGTGGGAGGGTGCTCTGGATGGAGCATGCCTGGAGCATCCTGTCTTGTATAGGGTCCTCTCTGCGTGCAGGCCTCAGTCTCTGGGATGGGCAGGTACCTCGGAAAGCAGACCGGGCTCCAGTCATGGTCCTGGGCCCCCAGCCAGTGGGGATTCCTGCACCCCTCCACCTCCACCTCAGGGCACCCAGACCAGCCACAGGGTTCAGAAACCACCAGACCTTTCATCTATGTATATTCTGCTTCCCCCCCGAAGAATTTGAGTCTGCTTCCAGGATGGAGGGCTCCCACGCCCACCCCCACCCTCTCCTGCACTGTGCGTGAGCTGGGGAAGGACTTTATTTGCCCCCTGTGGCCCTGAGGGAGATGAGGAGCCTTTATCTGGCAAATGCTTGTGCCTCCGTGAGTGTGCTGCGCCCCGGCCCTCACATTCCTCTTTGGCCCTGCAGAGGCATTAACCTTCAAAAGGTCACGAGCCTGGCCCACCGCTCCGCAGAGGGAGACGGAGGTGGTAGTGCCTTCTGGTCACCTGGGGCCCGGCTGCGTGGGCCTTGGCTGGGGGTCTGGACTCTGGTTTCTGCCCCGACTCCCAGCTCACCCTCTTCCTCTTTCCCCAGCCCTCTCTCCCTCGAGCAGAAGGGTCTGGGGTCTCACTGCCGGCCTTTTAAAGTGTCGTTTTTCTCTTTTCAATCCCAAGGGGACGCTGGAGTTGGCTAAACAAGTGAGCAGCCTTCCCCTGGCCAATTACAACCTGCTCAGATATATCTGCAAGTAAGTGAGTAGGGGCAGGGAGCTTCCTTTCCCTGCGCTCCAGCTGCGGCTCCGTGCCCTTCCCAGAGGGGGCTGGGTACCTTCTCCCACCAGCCCTGATGGAGGCAGTGAGGGCCACAGAAACATAGCCCCCGTGCACATGGAGCTCACAGTCCCAGGGGAGCAGGTGGTGGCAAATACTCCCCAGTGAGGGGGCACACCCTCTGTCCCCTCAGCCTTCTCTGGGGGCCTCTCGCCATCCTCTCCCCCAGGGGTCTGCCTCCTGAGCACGACCTGGGCCCAGGTGCCTAGAGAGGGCATGCAGGGTGGCCCTCACCTAGCCCCATGCCTGAGGGTCTGGGCCTTCCTGGGCATCCGCCCCCACGCCAGGCGGGAGAGGCGTCCCTCCCAAACCCCTCCGAGGGGGAAGCTCTGCCCCCCTCTGAGCTTGGCAGGGACAGCTGGGGATGCCCAGCAGCCGTGGAGACGCATGGACGTGGCAGGGCATGGGAACGGGGCAGCTCCCAGCAGATCTCGCATCGGGTTTTGCTTTTCTGCCAACTGCCTCTTCCTTACCGTACAGGTTTCTAGACGAAGTTCAGTCCCACTCAAATGTTAACAAGATGAGTGTCCAGAACCTGGCAACTGTTTTCGGACCTAACATACTTCGGCCGCAGCTGGAAGACCCGGTAACCATCATGGAAGGTAATCATGGAGGCGTGCATGGCGCTGCTGGGTGCTGCCCTGCCTTGGCCGGGCCCATGGGAGGGGGCTTCATTCCCCGGGAACTGGCAGGCGCCTCTAGACCCTCTGACCCCATGGGATCCAGCTATAAAAGGAAAAGGAACTTTGCCCTGTGGGTGGGGTCACCAGGTGCAATTAGAAAGACAGGAGGGGCGGGGGGTGGTGGGGGGAGGGGAATGGAAGAAGTCAGCGCCCTTGCCCTTGAATATACATAGATGTTTTTACTTTCCTTAAGTAATTTTTTATCAACTAGTTGTCACAGGCTCCTGGATGTTAGAGCCATCCCTTGGGGAATAAATACGAAAAGTAACAATAGTAGCTGCTTTCAATATGCAAGGACCTCTACTAAGTGCCTTATTCATATCCCTTCGTTTTAATCTTCACAAGCGGCTCATGTGTGGTTACTACACCCATTTTACAGATGAGTAAACCAAGGTCAAGAGAGGCAAGGTGACTGCCTGTTAGCCAGATTTACCAAAGGGCACAGGTACGGGCTGGCCCAGAAACAGAGCCCAGGCTCAGAGGGCCCCTGGAAGACCATTTCAGAGGGGCTAGTGAGGGAGGCCTTCTCGCAGACAGGAGACCCACAGCCAGGCTGGGCTGAGGTGTGCCGGGGCCGGCCGGGTCTCACACAGGGCACCAGGCGAGCAGAGGGCAGAGTTGCTGTTCCTTGTTGAGCAGCCCTATCTGGAGCTCTCTGTCCTCCACCAAGCCAAGGTCATGACTCCTGGTGTGGCGCCCTTCCTCAGATCCCCTCTGGCCTGTCTAGCTCCGTCTCTCACCCCAGGCTCCCCGTTTCTCAGCCTGCCAGGTTGAACAAACGGCCAACAGCAAACACAGAGTTCCTGCTTCCCCCAGTTTTCTGGCCTAAGAATTCCTTTATTTTCTCCGGGATTCTTAGTTGCCTCTAGTGGGAGTGTCCGCCCAAGCACCCCTCCTTCCGTATCACCTGGAAACCTTCCCAGTCTCTGGTCTTTGTTTAGTGGAGGGTGACAGGAGGGAACGAGGCAAACGGATAGGTACCACGGCCCCATCGTACTGCCCCTTTTGTCCCGGCCCCCTAACCCCCCGGGCTGAGGAATACAGGCTCCACAGGCTGCATCCCAGGGGCCGTGGCCTGGAGAAGAGGTATTGCGTATGTGACTGTGTGTGTGGTGTGAGGGGGTGGGTTGTGTGTGTTGGGGGCTGCAAACACCTATACGTGTATGTATGGAATTATGTGTTAATGACCATCAGTGTGTGGGACTGTATGCGTGTGTGCCCACATGCACCTGTAAGACATTCTGTCCCTGTCCCAGATCCCCCCCAGTGTGTGGACGGTCAGGCACAGCCATCATCAGCCGCACAGGGCAGTGACATGGGACACCCTAGGAGGCTGTGATGTCAAGGTCCTGGTTTCTGGGGCCAACCTGCCCCTGGCGCGCCCTGCATCCTCAGCGGGCATCGTGCCTGCTGCTTCCCCAACATGCCATGGGCTGGAGGCGCGGTGCCCCCTCTGTATCCAAGGAAGGGGATTCGTGGGTGGGTCCTTCTGTTGGTGCTAGATTTGGAGGGTTTGGTGGCTGTCCTTGCCTTTGGGGGGGTGGGGCAGATGGCTGGCTCTTGCTGAACCCTCTCTGGAGGCGCGGCCTGGCTCTGGACTGCAGACACCCTGCGGCACATCTGGTCTGGAGATGTGCCAGGCTTTCTCACTCCCTCTTCCTGCAGGCACATCCCTGGTCCAGCACCTGATGACGGTCCTGATCCGCAAACACAGCCAACTCTTCACCGCGAGGGCCGAGGAAGGGCCAGCCTCCCTGCGTGGGGGCCCACCGTGCACAGTGGGGTGGGGCTCCGAGGAGGTCCCAGGGGACCAGCCGGAGCCCAGCAGCCCCGGCCCCCTCGGCCTGCCGTCACACAGGACCTCTTCTCTGGACGGGGCCACCGTGGCGGCGCTGTCTAGGACCTCCCCCATGGGTCCGGGGGGCCGAGGTGGCCCAGCCGCCGCCAGCCCTGGGAAGAAGGTGCAGACTCTGCCCAACTGGAAGTCTTCCTTCTGGCAGCCGGGGTCCCGGTCGGGGAGCCCAAAGGTGGGCAGCTCCTCCCTGGAGGTGCCCATCATCTCCTCCGGAGGGAACTGGCTCATGAACGGGCTGTCCTCCCTGCGTGGCCACCGCCGGGCCTCCTCGGGAGAGCGGCTCAAGGACTCGGGCTCTGCGCAGAGACTCTCCACCTATGACAACGTGCCCCCCCCCAGCGGCCTCTTTCCCAGCACTCCCAGTGTGGCCAGCACGGCGTGGTCGGGGGCCTCCTCTTGCGAGGCATCGGCCAGGGCCTCTGTCAGCAGCTGCACAGCCTGCCGGGCCAGCGACTCGTCCGCCTGCAGCTCCCTGCCCACCGAGGGGGGCCCGGAGCCGTCCCCTTTCCCCAGCAGCAGCGACGACCGCAGATCCCCGGACCTGGCCCGCGGCCTGGACGAGGTGGGCACCTGCATCAGCAGCAGCGAGCCCAGTGACCCAGGCAGCCCCACCCAGGACTATGCCCGCTGCTCCGAGGCTCTCCAGGGCCTGGTCACAGAGCTCAGGGCGGAGCTGTGCCGGCAGAGGACTGAGTACGAGATGAGTATGAAAAGGTAAAGGGCTGCAGCCGCTGGGTGAGTGAGGCCGGCACCCCTGGGAGCAGAGTGCAGTGGCCCTGGGCGGTCAGCCTCTGGTCACGGCCTCGGGCTCAGAAAGCAAGCCTCCAGCCCCTGGAAGCCACCTTGCTGGGAGAATGCCCCCAGGGCAGGGCTGGGAATGGAGGGGTGGGGGTCCTATGTCTGGGGGAGCTCTGGGGCCTGGTATGCAGTCCGAGCTCCATAAATGCCTGCGGGATGAACGAGTGAGTCGCAATCTCAGCCTTAGCTGCCCAGAGCACCTTTAATGGAGGGGTTCAGCATGGGGGTCCCTCTGTGGCCCTCAGTGAGGAGGTGGGCCCCCTGAGGTGTGTGCGAGGGCCCAAGGAAGTGCCCCTGTGTGATGCAGACCCTGGGCCAGCTAGCCTGGCCGGCTGACCCGGTTGGGGCTGATACGGAAACTCCTTCCAGGACTATAAGCCAAGTTTCTGTGAGGAGGGAGCGGGCGGCGCTAAGCCGTGCCCTCCTACCCACCCGCCCTGGTCACAGGAGGATGCCTCGTGCCACATTCTGGGACTTGCAGGTTTCTTCATTGATGGTCCTAGTTTGATCCTTCAGCTTCCCTGTGAGGAGGGCTTTTTCCGGTTCTGAGGTGCCAGGTTCTCCAACCAAGGTCACTGGCAGAGCCTGCGTGGACAGTGCTTCTACCAGTTGAGCAGGGCTGGTAGCCCCTTGCCCCAGCTGTCTGACCTATGAATCAGGCCCCGGCCACTAGCAGAAGGTGTCAGTGTGTTCTGAGGTCTTCCTTTCTCCATCGGAGACCGTGGGGGTGGGAAAGGGACTCCTGCTTAGGACTCTGAGCCTGGGATCTCTGCAGGGAGCTGGAGTGGCAGCGTTTGGCCCTTCTGTCCCGCAGGAGGTCAGGGAGGGTCACAGCAGGCGACGTCTGAGCTAGGAGTTGAAGGCCTAATAGCACTGAGCTGAGCAAGGAGGACACAGCATGAGTAGAACTGTGAGGCGTGCAACTGCGGGAGATAGCCCAGAAATGTGAGCGCCGGGCTGGGGTTTACCAGGCAGAGGAAGAGCCGGGCGCCCTGCAGATAGAGAGGAAGGTGCAGCTGAAGATGAGCTCACAGCCAGAAACTACGGCATACATGGCGAGCGTGAGGACAGGCTCAGGGGGCGTCAGAATCAACCTTTCGCTTCCTCCGCTGTTTGTGGAGCCACCTTGAGCTTCTAGTTCTTTTACCTTCTCAGAAGCTTGGTTTGTCAGGGGGACGGTGCTGTGTTTCGTGGAGGCTCTGGGTGACACTGCCTGGCCGAGTGCCTGCCCGCTGGGTACTGGCCAAGCACCCCAGGAGGACTGTCTGACCCCAGTGTGTATTGGCCGAATGTCTGGCTGGCAGGCTCTCTGGGCTCGGTGACCTCACCCATTTGGCACGAGGATTAAGGGCCACAGTGGATGGGAGTCCTCAGCACAAGGCCTGGTGCATCCACAGTGCTCAGGAAGCTTCCACTGCTCACGTTTTCTCCTGCTTGGTGGGTTGGGGGCTCTCATAAGCAAGGGGACAGCAGCAGCCTTCGTAGTGCCCTCACTAGCAGGGTGGTCCGTGCTGTCACGCTGGGCAGAGGGGTGGCTATGGAGAGGAGGAACTCTCTGAGCACGGGAGAGAATAGAGCCCCATCCAAAGGGTCTTTGGGGAATACATCTGCACGCATGGAGTTTGCACTGGGTCTGGTCTGGGGAGTTGGGGGAAACCAGCTTTTGGCCCTGCTTCCCAGGACTCAGAGCCCCTCCTGAGCCAATTCTTACATTCGCAAAAGAGAATGCATTGAGTGGCTGTGAGGAGCAGACACTGTACTGGATGCTGGGGACAGAGCCAAGACCAAAACTGATCAAAACTGCTGTCCTTATTTATTTATTTTTAATATTTTTATTTATTTCTAGGAGAGAGAGAGAGACAGCGTGAGCAGGGGAGGGTCAGAGAGAGAGGGAGTCACAGACTGAAACAGGCTCCAGGCTCTGAGCTGGCAGTAGCACAGAGCCCGACGCGGGGCTCGAACCCACGAACCGCGAGATCATGACCCAAGCGAAAGTCGGACGCTTAACCGACTAAGCCACCCAGGCGCCCCTGCTGTCCTTATTTTTATTTGGTTGTGTGTGTGATGGGGGCGAGGGGGAGAAACCATGAATAAGATAGATTTTAAAAATCTATGGTATGTTAGGGGCACCTGGGTAGCTCAGTCAGTTAAACATCCGACTCTGGCTCAGGTCATGATCTTGCGGTTTGTGAGTTCGAGCCCCACATCGGGCTGACAGCTCAGAGCCTAGAGCCTGCTTCAGATTTTGTATCTCCCCCTCTCACTGCCCCTCCTCTGCTCATGCGCTGTTTCTCTCTCTCTCTCAAAAAAAAAAAAAAAAAAAAATTAGCATTAAAAAAAAATTTTTTTTTAACCTATGGTATGTTAGAAGTTTAGATAAAGAGGGGCGCCTGGGTGGCTTGGTCGGTTAAGCGTCCGACTTTCGCTTGGGTCATGATCTCGCGGTTCGTGGGTTTGGGCCCCGCGTCGGGCTCTGTGCTGACTGCCAGCTCAGAGCCTGGAGCCTGTTTCTATCTGTGACTCCCTCTCTCTGACCCTCCCCTGCTCGTGCTGTGTCTCTCTCTCTCTCCTACAAATAAAAAAAAAAAAAAAAAAAGAAGTTTAGATAAAGAACTAAGCAGGGTGGAGGGCGGGGGAGCATGGGAAGAGAGGGGTGGAAGGCTCTGCTGGGACAGGGAAGGCCAGATGCAGAAGCCCAGGGAGTGCCGTGGGGAGGGGCTCGTGGAGTGGGGGAAACCTGGGTGGAGGGCAGTGGGTGGGGCTCCAGGCCAGACATGTGGATGTCACGGACCTAAGGGGTAGCAGCGGAGGTGGAGAGAAGAGCCAGATTCTGAACGTGCTTGGAAGGCTTACTAACTGGTCAGATGTGGGGGTGAAAGAACGGACGGACTCAGGGCACATTTTTGTCTTGGGGGAATAAATGGAAGAGGGTGTCCAGTGTGTGGGACACCAGGGCCGCAGAAGTGGTTTGGAGAAGAAGGGTCAGGAGCCAACTGTGGACCTGCCAGGTGCGGTGCTTACTAGGTTTCTGAGTGGAGTCGAGGGAGATAGAGGCTGAGAGGTCGTCGGCACATAGATGACGCTGCGGGTCTGGAGGCTGGATGAGGTCACACAATGGGCCACGTAGAGAGGAAGATGGGAGGCCCAGGTCCGAGAGCACCAGGGTGGGCAGGGGGAACCAGCAAAGAGGGGGCTGGAGCCAGAGGTGGAGCAGTGAGGGGCCGTGGAGGCCTGCTGCCACCTGCCGTGGGCGTCCTGTGTGACAGCATTTCCTGTGCTCCCAGGTCAGGTCGGGGGCTGGGCTGCAGGGAGGTTTCCTGCATTCATCGCGCTTTGTGCTCGTTGACTGAGGATGGAGGCGGGGCCTGGTCCTGGACAGGGCGGGGATGGATTCTTACTCCATGTACGTGGTGTCACAGGTGTTATGCTGTGCACTCGGGGCCTTCTTTGTTCATTGCAGCTCCTGGGGGGAAGGGTGTCCCCGGCATTTTTCCAGAAAAGACGCCAGGACACAGTGGTTTTAGATAAAGAATGCAGTAGTTTGTGTCCTACTCACAGTCACATGCCTCATAAGCAGCCAGGCCGAGGCTCAGACTCGTGTTTTGGGTCTCGGGAGCTGGGCTCAGCATGCCCCGGAGGCCTTATGGGAGGTAGTCATCTGGTTGAAGAGACGGATGTGCTTTGTACTGTGAGGTGTCAACATCCATATAAGCAGGTCTGTCGTGGCATGAAGCAACACTGATGTGGCCTCCAGGGGAGGATCCAGAGAAGTATCCCTGAGGGGGAGACATTGGAGTTGGGCCGTGAAGGACAAGTAGGGATGGAGGGGCCTCCTCAAATGGGGTTTCCAGTGAGTCGCCATGGGAGGCAGGGCAGCTGGTGGGAGGCCAGGGTACGAGGGGACACCCAGAAGAGCGGAGGCGAGGGGACGGTTTCCTACTTCTGTCTCCATTTGGGGACCAGTCCTGCTTTCTGCCAGCCAGCAGTCCATTCCTCAGCGGACAGTTGGCTTGGAGGGTTAAGTGGACTTTAAATTTTAGTAAGGACTCAGGCTCCCAGCCTCAAGTGCCACAGGGCCAAATGCTCATGCTAGCATTTCTGGATCACAGGCAGAGGGGCGGTCCCCTGGCGGTGCAACCTGTTGGCTCACGGGTCTTGGGAGGAGCTGACGGGGCCCGTGGGGCCTGCCACAGAGCCTGGTCTGAGCCCGCACGTGTCCTTCCCTCCCCGAGATGCCTGACCAGCTCCTTCGGAAGGAGTGCACACAGGCACAGGTTTGCTGAAACCCAGGCAGCCAGAGACTAAAGCAGGGTCTTTCTTCTTGATTTTAAAGACTCGAAGAAGATAGTGCCCACCTGAGGAAACGAATGTTGCAGCTAGAAGAAGAACTGGACCAGGAAAAGAAAAAGTACATGATGCTGGAAATAAAGCTGAGGAACTCAGAGCGGGCCCGGGAAGACGCGGAGAAGAGGAACCAGCTGCTGCAGAAGGAAATGGAGGAGTTCTTCTCAACCCTGGGAAGCCTGACTGTGGGGGCAAAAGGTGACAAAGCCCCCAAGTGAAGGAGGGGGAGGAGTTCCCTTCCGCAGAGGTGCTCGCCCACCCCTGGGCAGAGACGGCCGGTGGCCTCGTGAGGAGCCACGAAGCCCCACAGCTTGGACCTGGGCCTCACTGGTGCCAGGAGCTCCAGCACCAGCTGGAGGGAGGAGCCCCGACGCCCCCAGTGGGGGCTGTTGGGAGCCCAAGCCCCATGTGGGATCTGGGTGCTGCTCCAACCATGCAGGGCCGGGCAGGTGTCGGAGGAAACGGTCTGGTGACCCACCAAAGCATGGCGCCTGGGAGCTGGGCGGCCTGCTGGGAACACTTTGCATTCTGTATTAAACCTGCTCTCCTAGCATGAGGCTGGATGCCGGACTCCTCCTTTATGGTCATGCAGGATTGGAGGTTGGGCTTACCAAGTTGCTCGCAGGGTTGGAGGTCCCCGGGGTGTCCCCTGGGCTTCAGAAGTGGGGTGGGAAGCTCCCTGGGGAGCACCCAATGTCGTCACAGTCACAATCTGTGCGTTGCTCCATCCTCCCAGCGCCCAAAGCAGGATGATTTTCCTCAGGCCCTCTGCCTCTGAGCTGCTGCCACAGGGCCTGGAATCCCTCCCTGGCCTCCCACTGTAACCTGCTTGCCTTTGCTTGGCCCCAGCTCTGTTCCAGGCCCAGAGTTTAGGAATCCAAGCCCAGCGTGGGCGACACACGCCTCACTTCTGCCCCCAGGCCCATGCAGGGGCACAAGGCATGTGTCTGAAGGTGACACGGTGATGGGAAGTGCCCATTCTCTGTCCTCCACAGCCTCAGTCTGTGTCCGGTTTCCCTTCAGACTCCCATCTAGCTGGTGCTGATCCCTCTCCTGTGCCCGTCCCCCCTCCTCCAGCTCATCCTCAGACCTCAAGTCTCCATGAAGGCAGATCCCTCAAGAAAACTTTTCCCTGCACACACGGTGCAGGCCTGGGCCAGAGCTCCTGGAGATGGGCTTAGGGAGCACCAAAGGAGTGGCCTCTCAGAGGAGAGGACTGGCCTCCGGGGCACTGGCTGTGTCCGTGACCCTTCACTGACTCCTGCTCACAGCGTCCTTACATACCACCTCCTGCCACCCTGCACGCCACAGTGCCCCAGTTGATGACCACTATCTCTGGAAACGTCCCTCAGGGGCAACCACCCATCCCCCTAGAGCCAGGTATAAACTACTGCACTGAGGCTTTAAATACCAGGGTCTTGGTGCTCCCAAGAAGAGCTCACTTCATACCATGAGATGAAAGCGCACAGGCGCAAGTCAGCTGGGAATCCCTACGGTGGGGAGGCAGGCTGACCCCAGGCCTTTTGCTGGGCTGCCTGTGGCCGCACCAACCAGGAAGCCAGGGGCCTGCCAAGGGCACTCAGCAGCATCAGTAGTAAGTTCCCTTGGGGGGATGGGGCGCCTGCGTGGCTCAGTCGGTCAGCATCTGACTCTTGGTTTTGGCTCAGGTCATGACCTCATGGTTTCGTGGGTTTGAGCCCCGTGTTAGGCTCTGCACTGATAGTGCAGAGACTGCTTGGGATTCTCTGTCAACCTCTCTCTGCCCCTCACGCTGTCTCTGTCTCTCCCAAAATAAATAAACTTAAAAAAAAAATTCTGTTGGTGACCTCTGAGGAGGGGGTTGATCAGTGAACAGCAATACCCGTACCTACTCTCAGGCCGTTTACAGCAGATGATCCGGGTGACCAGCTTCCCCAGAAGGTAAAATATTGGTCTCCTCCCTGTTCAAGGAGAAAGAGAAAAGAAACTGAAGTGATTGATTCCTCAACAAGATAGGAATTGGCCCCATGCTCAGAGGACAAACTGAGGCTGGAAGATAGGTGAGAACACCAGTGCATTCTTAGGGTCATGGGTTCCCTCACCACAGTCCTGGAATTCTATCAATTCTGATGGAGAGAAAAACGCCACCAGTTTATCAAAAGAGCAGAAAAGACAAAAAAGGGTTTCACGTGATGAAAGGGGAGGTTGTCTGCCTTCTCTTAGCCATCCTTCCTGGCAAAGGCTCAGCTTCTGGCCAAGTGCTGGCCCAAACCAGCTCCTGAACCCCATCTGCCACCTGCTGGCAAGGCTAGGATCTGCAACTGCAATTTTTCTCTGACATTAGTTGGCAATATTCAGGAGTTCTGTCCTGTTTCTGTCGCACTGGCACTCTCCATTCTGTCTGTTAAACAGGGGCTTCTGCCCGTAAAGTATGCCAGGCACCAAGGCTGTGAGGGGCTTTGGCCCCTAATACCCTGTCCCTGTCCACTTAGGTTCTCCCCAATTGAGTTGCGTTTACAGAACCTATTCTCCAACTGTGGATTCAAATTGTACCTATTACATTTAATATTAGGTAAACTGATGAATTATGAGTGTGAAGAGATACAAAATTCATGTTTTGAAACCTGATTTTTTTAAAAAATGATTTAGAAAGAATAAAGGCAAGTTGCTAACAAAATAGTTAAATTATGGATGAATCAACCACGCAATAGTGGAAAATTGGCAAAATTCTAGGATTCTGCTCTCAGGTTACTTCAGAAGTGTTATAAGTAGCTGTTGGACTTTAAAGCAAAATGTGGAAATTACAAGTCAAACTATAGGCTTAATAAAGACAACTGTCCTTTCTAAAAGAAGAATACACCAATCTTTAGGGTGAGAGAGAGAGAAAGACACTCCTGGTTTTACCTGGCTGTTGACTAACGGACCAGGCATGACCACTATGTACTCCCTGCTGTAAAAGGGCTTCTCATGGAGTCCAGTATCCGTGTTCCCAGCCCTGTGCACAAAACAATGGGAGTAACAGTAACATGTTCCACTGACTCCCTCTCCTTTAGATGCAGGGCTCCAGCCCCCTGGAGAGTTCTCCCAATATCCTCCATGGTTCTGTTGGGAAGGGACAGTTTCTCGTGCATACGAGCTCAGAGCTACGTTGATATGACAGTGCCTCTTACCCATGTAGTCACCAAAAGCCACCGTCTTTGCCAGAAATTGCCACCCTTCTCACCAAGCACACTGCTACTACCATGCTCCACCAAGCCCTGTGACAGTTGGACCTATGAGGTGCCAAGATGGTGTGGAGGTTGGTAAGAAGAGATTCTACCGCGGAAAGCTCTTTGGCACAAAGAGCTTGGGCCCGTGCCGCCGCCACTGGAAGTCCTTAGGGGAAGGACTGTGATCTGTGCTCTGTGATCTGTGTTCCCTCGTGTCTAGAGTGAGGATAACCTCAGAGTGCGTGCTGGGCCAGCGGGTCTAAGCGTTTCACATGTCGTTAGGGGGTGTTATTCTCTGCACTTTACAGCTGAGGACTTGGGAAGCACAAAGAAGTTCAGGACCCAGCCCACGACCATATGCAAGTCAGTGAAGGAGTCAGGCTTCTGTCCCAGGGAGTCTTAAGAGCCTGTATTCTTAATTAGTCGTCTAAGTTCAAAAGATGCTGGCTTGATAGTTTTAAAACATTTCCCCAATCATGTTTTGATGAGGTTTGTGCACAGGATGCAAAATGAGTGCTAGAAGAGATGTCTAAATCAGATGGAGGGCAGAGGTGAGGGAAGGCACTTCCTGTTTTATATGCTGATGTGTGTGCTTTTGCTAGAGCAAAAGGGTGTGTGTGTGTGTGTGTGTGTGTGAGAGAGAGAGAGAGAGAGAGAGAGAGAGGGAGAGAGAGAGAGAGAGAGAGAGAGACGGAGCCAGGGTGAGTTGGGGTGGATAGGGGAGGATAGAGGGCTAGAGAAGGTGGCAAGGATCTGGTCACAGAGGGTGGGATAGGCTGTTAGCCTTTATGCTTTAGGAGAGGATTGCCCCACAGGCTTTTCACTCATGTGGGGAGAGAGGGAACAAGACCTAGATCATGGCTTTCATAGAATTTTCTAGTGGGGTAAGATAGACCGTAAAGAAAAAGAAGACAGTAGGCCCTAAATGGAGTTGCTTATACTAAGCCACATATCCCTGAACCAAGACTGACTGACAGTTTGGGCTCTCCCAGAAATGGAACCCTAAGCCGGTCCATCAGTAATCATCGGGTCAGTGCTTGTTAGGTCGTCTGCATGATAGACCCTAGCCATTCTCTGCAGGAAGGTAACTTCACAATCACCAACCTGCTTTTTTTGCCTAGAATAATTTCCTGCTCCTTTCTGCCTATAAAAGTTTTTCATTTTGTACAGCTCCTCAGAGCTCCTTTCTGACTGCTAGATTGCATACTGCCCATTCACGGCTCACTGAATAAAGCCATTAAGATCTAGATTTACTCAGGTGAATTTTGTTTTGTTTTTTAACGGAAGTGCACATAAATAAGATATTCAGATTTTAGTAAGTGCTCTGAAAAAGGAGATCCCAGGGGCCTATTTTAGACAAGTTGGTCAGGAAGTCCTCTCTGAGGATGCGAATTGGAATGGAGACCGAAGGATGGATGGCAGCCATGCGACCAGAGAGCTGCAGGCAGAAGGAAAGAGCTGTAGATGTTTGCGTGAGTGCCAGTGTCACTGTTGGCCCAGTGGGCGACAGGGCAAGGGCAAGGCAAGGCCAGACACTGTAGGGCCTGGTTACCCAAGGTAATTTTCTTTTAAGGGATATAGAGAAGGCTTTGAGGGCTTTAAACCAATGGACACGAACTGGCTTGTATTTCAGCCACGTTCTTGTGGCCACTAGTGGAGGGTGAGTAAATTTGGTGGGGGTGATGGGCACTGGCTGCAGGGAAGCTAGACCAGGAACTGTGCTCCAAACCAAGTGTAGTAGAGTAACAGGCCAGGAACTAGACAGGAATGGTCTGGAGACTGAATGGGGTGAAGGGAAGAAAGACATCATGCCCAGACCAATTCTTACAGAAGTCCTGATGTGAATGGGAGCAGAGAAATAGGGTTGCAAAGTGGAAGGGGGTAAGAGAGAGCTTTTTAAACATGGATATTACTAGAGCATGTTTGTATGCTGCTAGGAATGGTTCAGTAGGGAGAGTGACTGGTAATGAAATGAGGGCAGTAACGAGGAGAGAAGTCTGGAAAAAAAAGACGAAAAGGCAGTGGAAGGGTGGTTTCCAAGAGAAGTTAGGGAGACAGAGGACCCCGATAGGTGCGGATAGGTTTGTGGAAATGCATACTAGAGTCGTTAAGAAAGTCCTGAAGACTGATGAACATGCTCGCAGTTAAGGAGCAGCTCCCTAACTTACTTGCACACAAAAGCCTGTGTGCACATAAACCTTGGGCAATGGAGCACCATGTTTAGGAAGGGTGAAGGCATGACGGTCACTTTGGCTGCACCGTCTGCCCTTCCTCCACTTCCTCATCCCTTCCTGTCTTCTCTGGGCAGTCCCCTGGTATCCTTCTGGCTCCCTTCCCTCACAGTAACCATCCGGAGCCTGGCATGTCTCATCCCCGATGTACGCTGCACCCCATCTGTCACTGCTCTGGGTGGAGAGTTGGGTATTTACATAGGCCTCTAAGGCGGCTGATGATGGATGGAGGGGGGCATGTCAGAACCATCTTAGGAAGCTTCTAAGAAAATTATCTCCCCCACAGTTCTAGTTCTGTATAATCACCTTCTCCCTCTAACCTCTTCTGAGGGAACAGAGCCACAGAGTTTAGGCCAACTTGCTGTAGGTGAGGCACTAGTGTGAAGCCAGGATTCTACTTTAGATATCTGGCATTAGAGCCCAAGCTCACATTACTAATTCCGAAGTGCTGTATAGTTTCCTTAGGACACAGTTTGAAGGTCACGAATATTGCATTTCAGAAGACAAACACGGTATAGATGATGGGTCCTAGTCATTAGCTTACCCAGCCCAGTATTTATCAAATGCCTACCTCCCAGGCATGAGCCAGGTGTAAAACTGTCTTCTATCCAAGCGTTTCCAGAGGGAAGCATCTAGAAGAGAAGACTCACAGAACAACGTGAGGAGGCACACATCACGCTGCTGTCTTCCCTCCTGTGGAACACAGTAAGCAGATAAAGGGAGTTAGTGTGCTCTGGGTTTGTGAAAGGAAAAGTCACTGCGGGGAAGGTTTATCAGAGAAGAGGTGTTTGAGCTGGGTCTTAAGCAATGAGGATTTAAAACAGGCAAACGGAGGAGTAAACAACCAAAGCCATGTGCACAAAGACGTAAGATATTTGCCAGGGAGGAGGTTCAGCTGGAATGGAGGGAATGGCGGGAAGGTTCTATGAAATAGGACCAAAACAAAATGTTTAACTGTCCTAATTCTTAAAAAAAAAAAAAAATCAAATATTGAGATATTTCTCTCAAATGAGGAATTATTCTTACCAATCACACAGAGTGGGACTACTCAGGATGGAAAAAATGACTTGAAGGTCAGAGGGTGCAGAGGTTCAAAGGTGGGAGGCCATGTGAAATTCCTCCTTTGCTCTTTGACGTTTTTCCACGGTAAACCATTTCTATTCCTTTCCAACGTTAAAGTCTGCAATTATATTTGCTTGCAGACTATTTTTATAAAAA